TGAGGTTCCCACAAAACACAGAGTCACAGACCAAATTTCCCTGGAATCCTACATTTGATGTCCTTGGCATGTAGATGCCCCAAACCTTATCTCACTGATACGAAATCCTACACTTGCATAATGCACCACGACTTCCCGTCATCCCTTACTTGACCAATAAGTAAATACCCTTAAGCCATTCCCCGAGACTACCAGTCTCGCACGTGGTCCAACCATCAGATTCCCAAGAGATCAATATCGAGGCTACCCAGCCTAGACTCCTCTGCATCACATACTGATTATCCACATGATCCTGCAACTCAAGATCCAAACCCTTGACTCAACAGTCTCTACCAGTTCCATCCTGAATTCCCATCAGGAGTTCGGGTCGCACCTATGTATTCCCACTGCTCACTATGCATAATCAAGGCGATGCCGACTGGCGATTGGGAGTTTCCTGAAATCCCACCAACACAACCTAGGCCTAAGCAACCACTTGCTTCTCCCCCACTTGGGCTCAACGATGTTCTTCCACCTCTTACACCTTATGGACCCCCGATCCATTTCCATCAATATGCATGACCCGCCCAAATCTTGCACCGAACAACGCAAGCACCCCATAGTTATCTAACTACAATGATCACTCCGCTTTGGAAATCCTGAAGAATGCTCTTGTATTCTTAACCAATCGGATGATCCAATAGCTTCCTAATGCGCCCTTTTACCAAGAAATCTGAAGGCAAATACAAATTTACCACCCTCTTACCGCTTCCTATGGACTGGTAAATGCTACGGGCTACCCCGCAGTATTACAGCACTCTCGCCTCATCACAACAGTCTGCAATCTTACCGCCGATCCATCGGATCGGACACACCCTAAATCGAGCACCCAATCGCAATGTCACATGCTGACACGATAAATCCTGCTACGCTTATAGCAACCCATACTCTTGGAGCGATAACTCCATCGTACGGTTTACCGCTCGTGCTGTACTGTATCTGGCCCTGCTGGCCTCTCGAAAGTTGATCTGAAATCTTGGGTCTCTTCTCGGAACCCTCCAATACATGCACCTGATCTGGTCCCTTCTTCCTAATGTGCTCCAAATCAGTCTCCCGCTCTTGAGCTCTAGAAATCATATCACTCAGGGTCTCGCACCCTGACACATTCACCAGCTTAATCGTCAACGGCTGAACTGCAATAGCTAGAGTAACCTATGCTCTAAACTGGACTACAACTACTCCCAAGGCATAGTATCCAATCCTATAAGCGCAATAGTTCGCAAAATCAATCCTTGCCGCCTGATACAAGAGATCCAAGGCTAACTCAAAATCCTGGTAGTCCTTCCACTAACTGGCTCACTACCGGAGTCGAGACCAAACCTTGGTCCTTCCCCTTGTGTGCTCATCCTCATTCTGCACAACAGTTATTTCCATGGTCCAAGCATAACCAAGAATTCTCCATCCCACAGGCTTCTTAGATTCTCCAAGACTCTCACCAGTTCGAGTATGGATCCTGTGCTTTCAGTAGTACGGGCCCGATACTACCTTCCACACCTATCCATACTTTCCTCAGCAATCCTCCCGAATCCTCTAAGTCACCAGCTCCACTGATGCACCAAATATCCGCTAAGAAGCAACTCCTAGGCTCCCCTAGGTTCCCAACCTCACCGAACCGCCCCGCTAACTCATTGGAGCATATCCTAGGCTTTCCTAGATTCCCAACATCACCCTGCCATCAGCCGCTGAAGAATTTCCATTAATGTCAACTAGCTACCTCATGAATATAGCCACATACAATAGAGATCAAATAATCATTCGAGTAAAAGTCTCAACCCAAGAACGGTTGGACTCAGACGAGAGCTACGTAATAGGGTCAAGTCCATCACTCTGAGATTATCCAGCCTGTGCCACATGTGGCTTAGCATATTCACTTAGTAGCTAACTCACATTGCTAAGAGTCCTACGAAGCAGAAAGCAAGCAGCATTCGGACAACGGAAAACTAACCAACATACTCCAATCAAGCATTTCTATCCACACATACAAGTCGCAATCAGGTAACTCCTGTCACTAATCTCATCGTAGGCTTACCCTAGGGTAATCTCCGACCCATGAAACTATCATAGAACATTCGGCCCACATACCACAGCCCATGCTGTCCACATCCACCCTCACTGTCGGCTGCTTTATGCATGCAAATTATACACAGAACAGTAAATAAGGCCAAATACACTATTCTAAGGCTATAAGATCCTAACCATATACAATTTTTAAAGCATACACTTAGCATTTACTGATACCAATAGTCATTCCCATTCCATCATAGCATCCAATATCTCCAAGGCTACAGGCATCACATATCAGGCCAACCTATCGCTGACTACTCAGAACTAGTATGCAAGTCTACCAGCTCACACAACGTATAAAGGCGTCTCTCCTATCCCTAACTAACATGCGATTCTCATATTCATAAATCAAGTCATAACAGATAACATATATGGGTATTCTGGGGAAAACTTACTTGAGCTCGGCCGATTGCATGCACCATACCTTTTCTTGTTTTAGAAAACTCTTTCCTCGAAAACATTTTTCTTTTGAAAACTTTACAGATCCTCAGTTTGAGTTCAGATACACCCTAAAGTATGTATGAATCCCTCAAGCCAAGGCTCTGATACCAACTTGTAACGACCCAAAAATCAAGGGTAAAAATTTCATTCTTCCATATAGTCAAATAAATATGTTACTTAATCCGACCATTCGAAAACATTGCTTAATTAAAACATTTATTAGAGTTACATCCCAAAATCACATGATGTAGAAAACTCGGGTGTGTGCACTGCGATCAAGTCGGACCCTTCCTTACCAAACCGATGATACCTGAAACCATAAACAAAACTGTAAGCACGAAGCTTAGTGAGTTCCCCACAGCATACCCCACATAATCACATAAACCATATCAATCGCATAATCCATGCATATACACATATAAGGATACCATGGAAACTCTCCAAGGTCTTATACACATAATCACATAAATCATATCAACTACACAAGTCATGCATATAAACATTTAGGGATGCCATGGAAACCCTCTAACGTCTTACACCGAGTACCACTAGAACCCCCACGTGGTCTTAACTACCTGTCATGGGAACCCCCACATGGTCTTCACCAACTCCCATGGGAACCCCCACATGGTCTTCACTGACTGCCATGGGACCCCCACATGGTCTTAGATAACCACGGAAATATCATGCAAACTAAACATACAAGCATACTAGGATGCCATGGAAACCCTCCAAGGTCATACACCGAGTTCCACTGGAACCCTTAAGTGGTCTCAACCAAATGCCATGGGAACCCCCACATGGTCTTAGACTGGAATGCCATGGGAACCCCCAATGGTCTGACATCCAACTGCCTCGGGAACCCCCCCCCCCCCGGGGTCTTCCACGCAAGTATCACAGAGACTGCTAGCATATCATATATCACATAATCAAAAACAATCCACATATCATAAAATAGGCCATGGGAACCCCCACATGGTCTTCGCATAAACACATAACATATTGATAACACATTCGCAACTATCCACTACATGCAAGAGTTACGAAGACATCTGGCATACTACATATAACTAATTGTCATGGGAACCCCCACATGGTCTTAACTAACTGCCATGGGAACCCTCACATGGTCTTAACTAACTGCCAAGGGAACCCCCACATGGTCTTAACTAACTACCATGGGAACCCCCACATGGTCTTCACATAAATACACAATGTATCGATAACACATTCTCAATAATCACCACAACTAAATAAATAGGCCGGCCTTGGTGCCTTTGACCCATTGGTATGGTGAGAAGACTCACCTCACACTACCGAAGTCCCGCAGACTCCCGAACTGTCCATATCAAAACAAAACCCTAATTAATAATTGGGTTCCAATACATAACCATAAGTCCATGCTTGGGGTAATAAGACTGCTTTACCCTCAACCTAGCTTGATTCAAAACCAAGGCCCAACTCACACTCTGAAGGCCCAAAAGCTAAATAATCAACCAAGGCCCAACATATGGCCCAATTTTGCAATTGGGCCCAAACTTCTACATGGTCTTACCTTAAGGCGCAACCATTTATTCTAGTCCTAACACTTATATTCTGATGGCTCAATATCTCATAATCATCAAGGCCTAATTATGGCCCACTTATGACCTAATTTTCCAAATTGGGCCCAAGCCTTTCCAATGGTCCTTATCTTAAAGTCCAATAATTTCCTTAGTCCATAAGCCTATTCCCAATTGGCCCACAAAAGCCCACAACAACTTAGTCCAAGAAATGGTCCAAAAAGAACCCAAACCCAATTAGGGTTTTTCACATAAAATGACGATTAGGGTTAAGTGTTCCTACTTAACCCATTAAGGACTTAATACATTAAGGACTTGATTCATTAAGTCCATTACTTCACTAGACCAGACATATAGTGTGGTCGGGCGTAATTCAAAATTCCAAATCCAACGGTCCAACGCGAGTCCCGACAAATCCAAAACCCACATTCCCAAAATTAGGGTTTTCTAAACCCTAATTAGGGTTTCCAACCCAATCGCGTGCCAATTAGTCCATTGGTTATGTTTTTAGGTTTATTAATGTTAATCAAGTTGGGCACCACCCACTACCGCCTCGGGAAGTGGTGGTCAACGGCGCCTTACGACGGCGGCCACCACCTCACGGTGGTGGTGACAAATTTCCTTGATTATTCCGGCCAAAATACAATAATACAACATGATATCCAAATGAACACACACACAAAATAACACGCACACACTCAGCCACCCTTATGGCGGCAGGCGGTGGTCGGAGGTGCTAGCCACCACCTCACAGAGATGGTGGTGGCTCTCTTGTGATGTTCGGCCAAGCAACACCCATCAACCATACTAAACACGCATACATACATGAGTAAGAACACACATCGAGCCGCTGCATTTGATTCATGGAGGTGGGCGACGACGGAGTGACGTCGAATGGGTGGCAGAACTTCACCACGACAATGGTTGCACCAAAGGACGACACCAACGACTGTAGGGTCATCGATCGGCGATGCCGGTGGAGTGGGAGACGGCGAGTCGGAAGGAGAAGGTGCTGCGCGACCGAGAACAACAGCAGCAACAATAGGGACGTTTCCTCGGTGTCTATCTTTGTCGGCAGCTTGGAGCAACAACGGCGCTGGATGTTCCGGTGCTTCTCGGTGGTTGACAACGGGTGCTCCAGCTTCAACAGGTAAGGAGGCGGTGGCTGGGAATGAGAGTAGTGAGGGTGGCGGCTGGTGTATCCACGATTAGGGTTAGGGTTATGGGAAGGTGACGAGTTTATATGCTCCCGTCCAAAAATCAAACTTCATCCATATTAACGCTTTTAGTCCCTCCTCCTCCCATTCTTTTCAAATAAAGTCCATAAATTATCATTCAGCCCCTTAGCCTCCAAAATCTATTCAATATAAGTCCAAATGATACCAAACACCCCTTGACTTCTGAAAATCTTAACAAAATAAATCCCGGGGTGCTCACACTTGGTGTTTGTGAACCATTAGAGGCATCACACTTGGGGTGCTCAAGCTTTCAAAGGTCAAGAACTACTAATCCTTCTAAAAGGTATGTCATCTAACTAGATGTATTATTCATTTGGTAATTTGTATGCTAGTTAGGACAATGCTTTGGACAATTGAAAATATGCATGTATAATTAGAGAAAACATAGATCCAAAGCATTTAGGGTTGTATGTGCACCATAGGAGTGTTATAGTGCTCAAAACCCAACAATTGTCTCTAAATTGACTAGCCCGAATCTACGGGCGTTACAATTATCTCCTCCTTAGAATGATTACGTCCCGGAATCATCAACAAAATAGGGCTTGTATTATGACTCCATATGTTATCTTTTCATCTTAGGTAATAACTGTAACTCTTATGTCCTTTCAAACGAGTATCTAACTCTTGTACTTCTTGATTGCTGACAGTGCTCAATCTTGCACCTGCTCTTCATACTATGTTGGACTTTCAATCGTAACCTCCGAGTTACAAACTCAATCTTTATTGGAGACTCCTACTCTTTATTAAACATACTTTAATTAGATAAGTCCTTTACTTTGCTTACTGTAACAGATCGATGGGTCATGTTGTAATGACCTCTCGTCGTATGATGCAATGCTTAGACTCATGTCTTTTTGAGTCAGATTCCAGAATGGAATACACCTTCCTTCATGTTCTAATGTGATATAATCACTTTATAGCATGTAGCACTTCTAGCTACAAGCTTCTTACTTTAACGGTGATCGCGATACTTCTATTGATCGCTTCAATTATCTTTCACTTCATTCCTCTGGATTAAGTCGGATGTTACATCGAACTTAGTTCTCTAAACCACGTAACATACTTATCTTATCCGGATTCGATTTGATATGACCACTAGGGTCGGAATAACAATCATCTTATTAGTCATTACCGAAACGATGGTAACAACATACATGAACAAAACAGAATCAATTACTAGCGCCTTGGTAACCTCATGACTTTCCGTGATCCAAGTGCGAGTCCTGTGCTTCCGGTAGTATAGGCCTCTACTACCTTTCACACCTACTCATACTCGTCCCAATTATTGTCTCTCAGTTCTCCAAGTTATTATTACAAAAACAATTTTAACACATACAAATGTGTGCAAACAATCAAAAAAATTTCCCTAGGCTCTACTAGGACTTATTCCATGCATATCTTCAGTCACCAATTCTGCTTCAACTCGGTTGGTGAAGGAAATTCCGGATGATGGGATAACTTCATGGATTATACCAAGAATCTTTCTTTCTGAAAATCGAAAGTGTACTTCTCCTGTACTAGATGTATTATTTATTAGATGCATTCTAAAGGCAATATACCTCTCTTACGGTATCTTTTGATAGGTATCATTCACTATCATCAGCTTTCTTATTTCGTCTATTTGCTCAGTCTGGTATGAGTCCTTATCAAGATGTTCCATACACCATAATAATTGTTAAAGATGAGAACTTTAAGATAGAGAAGGTTTAGACGCGTAATCCTCCTTATTACTCCGAAAAGTTACATGTCAGTTCTAATACCGTAATTGAACGTTTAGAATTCTGGACAAATAAAATTTTCAGATCCGGTTGACAATAGGCCATAAATCCGATCAAACGATAGTATCATAAAGCATATAAGGCATCTTATAGCATAAATCATTTAGCACATAAAATCAATTTAGCCATCTTCCCAAAATAAGCTAGTCCTCGTGTCTATTCAGGTGTACTACCTAAAATATAATAGATACACTCCTCACAATCATCGCTTAGCATTTCTAAGTTTAAGTTTAGAAATTTCCTAAAATTCCTAGTTCGCTTAAACTAATTCTCTGATACCAATTGTGACATCCCCAATTTCACGACCAAAAAAGACCGATTTCTTTATGCTTATTTAAAAATCAGAGTATCATTTTTAAAGAATAATATTGCGGAATTTTTTCCCGTAAAACATGATAATGATATTATCAAAGCATTTCCGAAGAAATGTATTTTATTTATATTAAAACATTGGGATGTCATCGTTAATACAAAAACATAAGCATAACGAAATATTATAAGCCTTACAGTAATTAAACTATTGGCCTAATACTCCTTAAATCTCTCAGCAGAATGTATCTTTCATATAGCCACCTGTGATACACTAAACTGAGTGGGTCAGGTTGGGAAACATGGTGAGTACATAGGGTTTTCAATCCCACAATGTGATAATAATGTATATCTCAAATATGCAAATCCAACTATTATCATTAACACAGATATATCATATCTCTAAGACAATTTTTCCCATCCCGTCGATTCCCACGTATAGATCCTATACAAAGATCTTACAAGATCTAGCCTAAAGGGTCAATATTAACAAAAAACTGACGATGCTGCTTCGGAAATTCTCTGGCAACAAACGAGGATCAATAAATACATCAAATGAGGGGAATGGAACAAGTTTCACCACAAACCTCTGTTCGTAAAAACATCAAGACAATTAAGTCAGGGGTGGTTATCTAGATAACTGTGTCTAGTAGTGGTCTGACATCGTGAGGTATTTTACCCCCAGACTCACCCTATCCGGCAATACATACCTGGTAGTGGTCTATTACTGACACACTCTAATAGACAGTCTACGAAGTTCCCTAAATTACTTCATGAAAGGAAACGCTGGCACACAAAGCTAATCCAAAGAAAAGTATGGGGTGATACTCATAAAGTACTCTTGTACGCTCCCGTACCCCTACACACAATAGTGTCAAAAAAAAGGTCTTTGTACATGATAGTACTTCTGGCATATTATAGTACCCTGGTATGAGTAGGACTCGTACCCCATAACATAATAATACCCTGACACAAGCAGCACCTAAGACACAGAGCTTTGAAAAAGACTTGGTACATAGAAAGTACTTTTATACGTAGGACATACTCCACATATCATCAATCTTCTCGAACAGAGTTTCTACTCTCCATTCTGATCACACACGTACCCTTAATAAGATACTACCCAATATCCAAACTTAATTAAACTAAGCATCTCTTTTAAGTCTTATTTCATCACTAAGCAAGCCTACAATGCTTATAATCAACTTTCAATACTAACTCTGTTTCGGCAACACTATCCTAATTTGGTGTAATATTTTATTCAAAGTATTAAGTATTAACATACATTTATCTTCTCATTTATAATACTTCTATTATTATTATTATTATTATTATCATGTAAATACATCTCAACACGTATAGAACCATGTCTGGTTCGCATAGCGTATATCATCAAATATACGTATAACACATATTTCCAGATAATAAGCATATATTTCACATATAAACTTTCAACATATATTTAATACTTTTATTAATACTTGTATTAAAATCATGTTAATGAAAGGGACTATGCACTCACTTGTTAAAGTGACGACTATTAGTATAAGGACTTCGTTTTTCTCTTGAAAGTTTCCTGTAAAGAAAAGATTAGTAGCAGAACGTGGTGGCTGAGCCTCGAGTTGGACTCGATTCCCTTAAACAGATTCGCCGTCTGTTCCCAGGGTACAACAACCTTAACAGTTTCTATTATTACTATTATTATTATCATGTAAATACATCTCAACACGTATAGAACCATGTCTGGTTCGCATAGCGTATATCATCAAATATACGTATAACACATATTTCCAGATAATAAGCATATATTTCACATATAAACTTTCAACATATATTTAATACTTTTATTAATACTTGTATTAAAATCATGTTAGTGAAAGGGACTATGCACTTACTTGTTAAAGTGATGACTGTTAGTATAAGGACTTTGTTTTTCTCTTGAAAGTTTCCTGTAAAGAAAAGATTAGTAGCAGAACGTGGTGGCTGAGCCTCGAGTTGGACTCGATTCCCTTAAACAGATTCGTCGTCTGTTCCCAGGGTACAACAACCTTAACAGTGTGTGTACTGTCGGATATTTCACTTGCCTGAAAGAGTCGCCAGATATTTCTCACTTTTATAGTTGAGTGTTTAATGCCAATAAATGTCATTAACTTAGAATTCAAAAATAGGGACCAAAACTTTCAAGTTTAGCAAAAACGAGGGTAGCGCGAGCCCGAGTTTTCGGAGCTGCATTCGTGTCCGCAGGTCGCGCCCATGCACAAGTTCGGTGTTTTTGGTCTACGAAATCCAAGATTTGCACCCCCTACACGCGGGTAGGAATTATAGTAAAACCAAGACACAAGCTTGTAAGCCCTTCATGCATTCAAGCTTATAAACCTTGTTGAGTTTGGTCTTTCTACCAATGTGGGACACATTCCCACATCCATCTCTTTTTGCTAAATTTATTCTCAAATACCCTTCTTTGAGTATCGATATCTCATTCACATATACTCCATTTTGGACATATAATATATCGTTTCGAAGTCCTCGTGGAAGAGAACACAAACCCACTTAGAGTTAGTTATATATACAACATATGTATATATTTATATATGTCCAAAGTTAGTAAAAATATAAATATTTATACTAAATTTTCCAACAACGACTCGTAATTCGGGTAGCGCTTCGCTTCTAACAGTTGTCTTTTCTTTTGACGAAACCTAGTATCATTATCACTAAGTTTTAGTCTAATATTTATTGCGACTAATTATTAGTCTAGATTTATTATTAACTCAAAGTCTACTTCAAGATCTATCAAGTAAGGAACAACCAGATAGGATCATATCGGATGTAGGGTCCGTTTGGTATACGAAGTATACTGTTTGGAAATCCCACTTTAAACACCTCACTAAATCACAGCTTAGACATCATCTCCGCAAGTAGATCAATTAGTATGATGACTTTGAATCACTGATAAATCTTGTTTATAGGTTCATAATAACGATAATGAACTTAAACATAAGTTATACTTAAAGTATGGTAAGCATAACTCACTTACTGGGGGTTTTAGCGAGGAACCGGGCTCTGCGCGGGCAGAACTTCTGAGCCGAAAGCTCTTCTTCTCGGGGACTTCTGGCGCTCCGGGACTCACTTCTAACACCTAGTAGGTGCTAGGGAAAGGCTTAGAGGGTTTGGGGGTTTTTGGGAGAGAATGGGTGAGAAAGGTGTGAAGAATGGAGTGATTTGCGCCTTCTATTTATAGGTTGTTTGAAGGCCAAACGCGGGGTGTTCAAGAGCTGAACGCTGGGCATTCGCATGCCACGTGTCGCCATCTCGTTCCAAGCCGTGGGGAAGAAGGTGCGGCCCAGATCGCGCCACGTGTCACTCGCAGATTTAGCCTAAAATTAATTATCTTCTAAAATTCGTAACTTTCGTATACGAGCTCCGTTTTGACGTTCTTTATATCCACATGTAGGTATCGACCGGATCTATAACTTTCGTTTAGACTTCGTCGGCTAATTTTGAATTTATTTTTAAAGTTACATTTTAACAAGCTTAGACAGTTAAAGTCCGTTAAAAATTCATAACTTTGTCCTCCGACGTCCGTTTTCAACTGTCTTTATATCGTTGAACTCCTATTAACGAGATCTTCAATTCTCGTTTCGGTTTTGTCGGCTAAAAATCGATCGATCTAAAATTCGATTTCCGGGCTGATACTGCTATGCAAAATCTTAGAAAATTCATAACTTCCTCAAATGAAGTCAGATTTGGACGTTTTTATATGGACACTCTCGGTTTAACATATACTACGACTTAGATCGTTAAGGCTAAAAAGTATTTTGTCAAAAGTTTACTTTTACGATACGCAGAGTCGTGCCGGTTTTTTCGCATAACTTCGACGGGTCATAACTTCCTCGTTATAAGTCGGATTTCGGCGCTCTTTATATGTACAAAATCTTTGTGACATATACTATATTTTGGTTAAGATTGTTTATTCTAAATAATATTCTATCAAAAAGTCATTTTTAACGCTTATTGTCTCTAAACTGAGTTAGACCGAATCTGCGGGCGTTACAGTCTCCTTGAAATTTGTTAAAAGGTTCCATCATCGAGGGAAATGATTCTTTCAAAGCATCGGTCATTTGCCTCAAACTCGATCCTCCACCCTTATATGATTCCTCGTATCAAGAAACTTGAAACCACTAGCCGCAATGGTTAAGGGGATTGGGTATGCATCGATGTCTATGTTTAAACATGGGATGTGTGGCTCTTTAACACGAAACATATTGATTGTGAAAGAGGACATAGATGGTAATACTTCAAAGTGGATCGGAACTACATTTCATTTACATGGCATCTAATAGGAAATAACATATGATGAACGATTTAAAACACATGTAATAATGGCTTCTAGGGTTTTCCCAAAGAAGTATTTTGTCATGAAGAAGCATTTTATGTTAAGGAAGAGTTACATTTAGATACACATTCTTAGCACAAGTTTAACATAATTCGTCTTTGTTTCATCACACGTCAACTTTTCAAATATTTCTAGAAAACATCGCAAGTATACAAATTATCAGTTTTTGGGAACTTTATCAATTAGTAAAACTGTAAAGTTGAAAGCAAACCAAATAAATCATTTGAATAACTTATAAAATTATTGTTTGACTTGATAATATAATAAATATATTAGATATAATATAATATAATTACTTATCATCACAAGAATACAAAAATGACGTTATAGATTATTAAAACAAATTTAAATAAATTATACAATTCCAATTGTAAAGAAACAGTTTATATTGTAATTGTAATTGTAACTGTATAATGTATTCAGAAAATACAAATGATTCATGTAATCGGATTTTTAGAAGTAGATGGGAGGATTAATGAGGAGGAGATAGACTTGAAGAGAAGGGGGTTTTCCTTTTCCTTTTCCTTTTTCTTTTCTTTTACACACAACTGGAGGAGAGATTGAGCTGATTGATCCCTCTGCATCTGTTGCAGAAACCAAGGAAGAAATTAAAGGATCTTTCTCATCAGGTGCGTTCGTACGAAACCCTTCTCCCCTCTTACAATTCCACCTTTAGAAAGTAACATACACATTTTTTGGAGTTCTTTCGTTTTAATTTTACTCGCCCCTCTTGGTTTCGCTTTCTGGGATTGTTTCAGATCGTAAATTTCAGTAATTTACGAGTAGGGTTTTCTATTTTTGTTCGGTTAGTTGATGAATTAGGTCTTCTTTTTTTGTTCCTTTTGTTCAGTACGTAGGGTTTCTTGAGCATACATTAAATTAAATTATGTAACTATTTCGCACTGTGATCCGTTAATTCGTCTTCTTTTTTCCCTTTTTTGGGAAGAGATTGCAACCATTAAGTTAACATGCACACTACCTGTTTGTTTTTATGCTGCAATGTAAAGATGCTCTCTTTTGTTTCATTCTTCGTTTGTGTGTGCCTTTACTTGCAAACTGTTTATCGTATATGTTTGATTTTGTTGCAAATTACCAAATTATGCTTCCGAATTGCGTGAGGAAGTTAATTGCATCTTCTTTTGGCTAATTGGCTATCTACCATTTGTAGATTGTTGGAAAACAAAAGAACATCATACCTAGTGATTTCTAGGATGCCTCCTCACAACGAAGTTGACCAAATTGACTACATGGCAGAAGAAGGTGACATGTCAGATTTCGCAGATGATGTAGATGGAGAGGAAAACAATGGTGAAGATCGAAATCTTGAAGATTACGAAATGGTTAGTTACTTAGTCTAACAATTTCATCCCTTTTAGTCCAGAATCTAACATCAAATGTATATATATATGTATTATGTAATACCCTTGATTTCATATCTTTTTAAGTTCTAATTTTGAGTAGCTTACAAAGGTGACGGATACGTCCTCTGCTCAAGCAAGATCAGGGAAAGATATCCAGGGCATTCCATGGGAAAGATTGAATATAACAAGGGAGAGTTACAGGCGTACAAGACTTGAACAATACAGAAACTATGAAAACATTCCCTTATCTGGTGATGCTGTTGATAAGGTACTACAAATACAATATCTACTTTCATTCTTTTTCCACTCTTCATATTCTGAAAACTTTCTTCTTGTTGTTGTTGTTTACAGAAATGCAAACAGAAGTCCAAAGGTGGTAACTACTATGAGTTCTTTCATAATACAAGATCAGTGAAACCTACAATCCTTCATTTTCAGGTATATTAGATTGATATTACCAAAAAGCCCTCGAAGATTCTAAACTTTTCTTTGTTATACAGCTAAGGAACCTGGTATGGGCTACCTCAAAGCATGATGTGTATCTCATGTCTAACTATTCAATCATGCATTGGTCATCATTATCACAAAACTTGACTGAGATTCTGAACTTTTCTGGACACGTGGCACCTACTGAGGTACTAATACTTGCTTTTATTTTCATTCATCATAATGTTCTTGAAGTTGCAAAAAGACAGAAATGACATTGTCACATTTTGTCTTGTATCATTTCTTTAACTTTAGACCTAAATCTTGTGAAAAAAATTCAAGAATGTTAATTTCTTTGATAAATTTTAAATCTTTTTGAGATTTGAAAATCTGATATTTGTTTTTGGGATACAGAAACATGCAGGAAGTTTGTTGGAAGGTTTTACACAAACTCAAATTAGTACACTTGCAGTGAATAATGATTTCTTGGTGGCAGGAGGGTTTCAAGGAGAGCTTGCTTGTAAGGTAATTTGTTATTAAAAAAAAAAGAGATTTTAGTAAAAGATTTAACGAAAAAAAAAAATGTAATTTTGATTTAGTCCTGACATGGAATCTTGATGATGCAGAGATTGGATAAACAGGGGGTGAGTTTTTGTACAAGAACAACTTATGAAGACAATGCTATAACAAATGCTATTGAGATATACGACACCTTGAGGTAATAATTGTATTTTTACCTATTTGTTTTTTATAAAAATATATTTTTGTTGATATTTTGATAATATTTGTAGTGGTGGAATGCATTTTATGGCATCAAATAATGATTGTGGTGTGAGAGAATATGACATGGAGGGATTTCAGCTTGTGAATCACTTCCGCTTTCCTTGGCCAGTCAATGTAAGCTTCTTTGCTAGTTTTTTTACAATGGAATCAGGAAAGGAACGGAATGGAATCGCATATTCCGTAGGAATGTAAAAAAAAAAATACCCGTTTGTTTGTTTTCCCCGATGGAATGTGAATATGTGATCCCTTGTATTTTGTTAATTTCCATTCCAACCAAACATGATCATGGAATGGAACGAGTGTAATGACTCATTCCATTCCATCCAACCAACGGAATCAGTGATTCCATTTACATAATTAACTTTGTTATTGTCTTATTGCAGCATACATCTTTAAGTCCAGATCGGAAACTGATAACAGTAGTTGGAGATCATCTTGATGGATTACTAGTAGACTCCATGAACGGAAAGGCAAGAACTTTTTTTTTTTTTTTTTTTAAATAAAGTTTTTGGATGATAATTAATGACATATCTGATGTGGCAGACGGTTGCCACGGTGGAAGGCCACCTGGACTACTCATTTGCGTCCGCATGGCACCCGAATGGAACAATATTTGCAACAGGAAACCAAGACAAAACATGCAGGGTGTGGGACCTACGAAACCTGTCAACTCCAGTTTCGGTTCTGAAGGGAAACATGGGGGCAGTTCGGTCAGTCAGGTTCTCATCAGACGGGCAGTTTTTGGTGGTGGCTGAGCCGGCGGATTTTGTTCATGTTTATAACACGGAATTAAACTATGAAAAAAGGCAAGAGATTGACTTTTTTGGGGAGATTTCTGGGGTTTCTTTGAGTCCTGATGATGAAACACTTTATATTGGAGTATGGGATAGGACTTATGCAAGCTTGCTGCAGTTCAACAAAAGGCATAAGTATGGGTATCTTGATTCTTTCATGTAGTAGAATGGAAGAATGATATAATTAATTGCTTGAATTGGAATAACTTGTTTTTGTTTTTGTTTGATGAAAAAGAGAGACTTAAGAACTTGTATTGTCTAAAGTGTGTTGGGTAGAGAAGAAAATGTATAGTTAAAAAAAAAGTATGTCAAGTTGAGAAATGTTTGTTTGTTGTTAAGTATGTGTTAAAATGTGGTGTTGTTGCTTGTTAAATGTTTGTTGTTAAGTATGTGCTTTTTTTTTTCTTTGAATTAGAAAAAAATCGAAGTATAAATGAGTGTATTACTTTCTATGGGATCATGAATGTGATGTGATCGTAGTGAGATTCATGACAAAAGTATGTTTTTTGTGTTTTCACGACTGTTTTTTTATAAACCGGTTTTAGTATGGGTAAGGGCTTCCATAATAGGATGGTTTTTTTTAATGGAGTTTCTTCATTAGAAGAAATCAGAAGGAAAATAAAGCTAATTGTGTCTTTAACAATGGGAGACATTTTTCAATTTGAATTTTATAGGATGTTTGTATGTGTGGTTTAGTTATGATTGGTTGAAAAAATATGCAACCCACGTAATCATTGAAAAAACTTATATGAAAAGCTTGTTAATTAACAAGCAACTTGAAAAAGCTCATCTAATAGGTTTTCTATTTCAAGAGTGTTTTTGTTTGAAAAAGCTATATGAAAGGAAATAACTACTGATAGAAGTGAGGATTTATAGATCAGATAATTTTTTAGATCCAACGGTTAAAAGGATCATTTTCTATTAATTTTGTATGTAAATAATACTCACTATTTGAATATAAATATTGTCCGAGTTTATTCTTCAATGAAAGCCAAAAATGATAATTTTCTATTAATTATCATTATCAATGAGTTCCATTATGATTTTGGTCCTTTATTTAAACTATACAAATGAAAAGGATATGAACCCTCCTAATATTGCCTTGCAACAAGTCATTTGGTTATCTTTAAGGGTATTTAAAGCTGTGAATGTTTCAATAAAAATATCACAGTATTCAATTATATTTAGTTCTCTAAAAAAAATTCTTACTTTCTCATGTTTGATTGTTTGGTATCAAAGCTTACAAGGCCCAGTGCTTCACAAGAAGAAATAACAGGATATTTCTTTTTTGAGTGATCCAAAGGTTAGATGAAGAGTTTTCTTTTAGAAATGGGCTTTTTTTTTGTTTTTTGTTTTTTTTTTTGTTTTGTTTTTTTTTATTTTTAGAAACAGGTAGTTTTGACCATGATTTGTAGAAATAGATTATTAATAATATTTACACATTTTCACATTAAATGAAAGGGCAATTTCATGAAAGACCTAATACTTTTACATTCTTTTGTTTTAAACCATAACCTTTCTTTTACCAAAAAACCCTAACCTTTTACTCTATTTTGTTATTTGGGTGGGAGATCCGGTTTCAAGTTACCAACCGGCAACCTTGTTGAGTTGGCTCATCAAATAAAAAAAATATCCACGTTTGTATATGTTAGAACCCACCGGTCACTTAAACTCTCTCAAACGCACTCAAAAGAGAGTATAGAGCAGAGAGGACAACTAAGGGGGTGTTTGGGAGTGCTTTTCAAAATGACTTACTTCCTCCGTCCTATATTTATTGTCTAATTTTGATTTTTGAAGTCTTTATTTTTCAATTTTGACTTTAAATATTTTTATTTATGTTATATATTACTTGATGAAATTTATAACAATGAAAAGACATTTAAAACATCAAAAACAAAAATATTTAAGGTCAAAGTTAAAGAATAAAGACTTCAAAAGTCAAAAGTGGACAATAAATATGAGACGGATGTAGTATTAACTTATTGGTTTTTTCAAAAATTCAATAAGTTAAAATAGTGCTTAGTAAAAAACCAAGAATTTCTAGTTTTTCCAAAAAGCCAATAAATTGATTGAAAAGCAATTCTAAACACCGCTAAACTCTCTCAAATTACAAGAATAGTGTTTTGAAAGTGAAGGAGATGACATCAGGAAGCACGTCATGGAAGCACCATAAGAAATTGAAGAATGTTGATCCTGATTATGAAGTGGAGCTCGAGAATGAGATACTTTTGACAAATATGCACATGAATTACGAAATGGAAGAGGTCATATATGCAACCTTCTAATCTTGTAATGATCCATTTCTTACAATCCTTTGTCAAGATCAATTTAATTTTTGGATGATATAGATGAAAATCTTTAGGGTGATGAGAACATAGCCTATCTTGATGATGATGATGATGAGAATGACACTAGTGGTGAAGTTATTGTCCAAGATCTTACCATAGAATGGAATCTCATCAAACCAAAGGTTAGAGGGAACTATGAGGGGTTTCAGCAACTGAAATTGTGTCTTATTAACTACTTTATGGCCAATGGGTACCCCTAAGATTTAGAAGCTTGAATGTACTAGGATAGTTGCTAGATGTGGCAGAGATGTTGACAAGAAAAAATGTCATTTTCATTTGTATGCATCATGGATGAATACAGGAAGATCAGTCCAAGTCCATCAAGAACAAATACTTATATTCAAGAAGCTTCACCTTTAGACACCTTGTATTCCTTGAATGGGTTGATTTTCATCTTATGAAGGAGCTTATTTTGAGGCCATCCATTAAACTCATGGAAATGAAAGAATTCATAGTGAAAAAATTAAGTGTACCGTATCTACAAATAAATGTCACATGACAAGACACATGGAAATGATAACGATTGAACTTTGAAGGGAAGATCAGTGATCCTTATGCTAAAATTTAGTATTATGTTGCAGAAGTCGATAAAATTTACTCTTCAAGTGGGTGTAAATATAAACCATGATGGAAAACATTACTTCCATAGATTTTATGTTTGTTTCAAAGCATTAAAGACTGGATGGATTAATGGATGTACAAGAACAATACGATTGGATGTGTGTTTTTTGAAAGGCCAAATAAAGTGTTAACTCCTAACAACTATATGAAGGGATGTCAATAACCAAATATATCTTATATGTTAGGTTGTCGTGTACATTTAAAACAAACAAAATTGGAAATGTTTTTTGGAGCTACTTACCGAAGATCTTGGATTGCAAGAAGGTGGAGGTATTACAGTTATATCAAACAAGCATAAGGAAATTTCCCGGCCATAACTTTACGTGTTAGGTCACTTCAACTCTTCTAGTACATTGCATAAGTGTCATAACTGGAATTAGGTTAAAAACCAAAAACACCAAAGTTGAAATACCTCAAATGGCATCTTTTCCATTAAAACAAGATTTCCACCCTCTAGTTATTATATTGTACTATTTTTTTCAAAATCACTAGAATCCACTCTATCAACTTCGTATCTGTCGACATTAAAATCTGAAGTGGTATACTTGAAGGTCAACCGGCATAGTATTGTTGACAATATTGCGTTGGACTTCACTTCTCAGTTAAAGATTTGTGAAGCCTCTTGCACATCTTAGAGATCCCTTATCGGTATCGGAAACCAAGAACGTTTGACAATCAGTGGTTCAACATATATGCAACTACTCTCTATTACAATGTCTAACAATGTAGAAAAGGTCATGAATTCAATGGAAATAACTAAAGATGTATGTAACATCCATAAAATTTACGCCAAATTTAAACTTTTCCATTCACAATTAAAACCCAAATTAGTGATTGTTTACAAATTGTTTTCAAATCATTTTTCATCAGAGTGTCCCATAAACAGATCATAAGGATGAGGAGCGGTACGGTCACGCCTTCGCCTTGCCACGATCTCCTGAAGTACCTGAAACAATAACTGACAACTGTAAGCCCAAGGGCTTAGTGAGCTACCCCCAAAATACCAATACCACACTGACAATACCATATCAGTAACAATCAATCAATCAACATGCATACTGGGCCATCGGCCTGAATGGACCGCCCTACTGGGCCTACAGTCTATCTGAATCTATCCCGAGCCTTCGGCATGACTGGTCCGCCACGTGGGCCTGCAGTCTCCCCAGACCGCTCATAGGGTATGTTGGCCTTCAGCACAAAGCAGGACCGCCTCAACCTAACCAACAAGCAAATAACCATGTGCGCATAATTATCATATACCAGCATATACAAACATCAAACATATTTATCTCACTGACTATCAATCATAGAATTCTCTCGTAACTAGAGTACCGACCTAGCAGGTCACTAACATACCAATCCTTACGGATCATAAGAGCATAACATACTGTCTACCCTGGTTCCGATCTAACAGATCATAATCACATGAAGCATATCATAACAATAACAACTAAAGGGCCGACCTTGGTGCCGTAGACCCTATCGATACAATGAGGATAACTCACCTCGCAGATGTCGACTCGAAAGGTAAACTCCAACTCTCGGATCACTTGACACAGGCCCCACCACCTAATATCATAGTACAACATACTCATAAGTCCTTAACCTTATAAGGTACTCCATAACCCACTAGACAACCCCTGGTCAAAGTCAAAGTCCTCAGTCAAGGTCAATAGTCCATGTTGACCTCAACTCGCCGAGTACCCTCGGCTACACGCCGAGTTCCTTGAAGCACATTCCAACTCGCCAAGTCATCGGGGTGACTCGCCGAGTTCCCTCGATTTTCGATCAAACTTTAAGGCCACCCGTCGAGTTTCCTCCTTGCAACTCGACGGATACACACTCATACATATCCTGGAGAAAAATCATCAAACTCGCCGAGTTGTTCTTCAACTCGCCGAGTCTATGACAATCTTCATCGGACTCGCCGAGTTGTTCATCCAACTCGTCGAGTTCACGGCCATCTTCATGTGACTCGCCGAGTCAACCTTGTGACTCGCAGAGCCCATTCAGTCCTTTTTCCATACAGACTTGATTTGAGCCATGCAGCGGCTCCAAATCACAGATCCAAGCTTCTAGGGCATGCTTATCACGTAAAGTTGCAAACTTTACGTGCATGCATGGCTATAGAGGCTCTAAATGCCTATTTTAAGTTCTTAATGGAGCTTCATGCTCAAGAGGGACCTCAATCATGACCAAAACTGTAACTTTATGCTTCTAGAATCCAAGGGGGGTCCAGATCTGAAGTTACACCTCAGATCTAGCCCATAGCTCATCTTACCAACTTAATATTCCACAAAACCCTAAAACTCAACCAATAAAAGAGATCTACAAGGGAAAAACGGCGATTTGGGTACCTCCAGAGATGATAACTGAGATAAGTGTTGATTCCCACACTCTACTT